CAGCAAAACCAAAGAACAGACCTCAGCACTATTTCAGCCCAGATGTCGATCGATCGGATCTTATCTTCCCAACATCCTGTTTCTGTCTGGGCTAGCCGGTATCACAATCCTCTAAAGGCACATGGTTAAATCTAAGCCTAAGCCACCATGTGCAACATATTTGACTCCAACTGAAACGTTCCATCGGCCTTGAATCTCTTCGCTAGAGCTGTACCTGGTATCGTGGCGCTGTTTAAAGTATGAGATTGAGCGGCAGATTGATGCGCTATGTGACGCCGGATGGAGCTTGGGCCTGCTTTGTTAAATATTCCTGATGGACTCAGCTTCAAGCTGAGGAATGACTGGTGAGATGAGACACCGGATGAATGACATTGTAACCGACAAGTCTATTGTCATCTTACGAGTTACCGAAAGCGTCTTGCCCAGCCATAATGCCCTTGTGAAAATCCTCCCTTGATCTGAGGGATCTGAGCTAACCATTTACCACATTCCAAGCCCCAACGGGAACTCCCTGGCCTCAGGGAGCAAGAAAACCTCTGACATTTGAGAAGGGTGCCAAAAACAACTGGTCTAAAGATCTATAAAGTCTATCCTAAACTTGTCTAAGCTTTTTTATGATCTAGGATATAGGCCCCAAGTTTTCCTGCCTCCCTAGCCTGAGAAGCCACTCGTAAAAGGCTTCCAGGAACCAAAAGGCATGCATTCTCCCCTGCATATCCCTCCTAGCCTCACCAACAAACGCCACTCGGCCATCATCTAGAGTCGCAAACGGGAGCGTTCGGCCGCACCCGTCCAAGACATGCGCCCATTGTTCAAACATCTCGATTCAATATCGTCGAATTTCCATTCTAGACGGGTTCACAAATGCTGTCCTTCCTCGGTAAATTTCTTGGCGAGGGCCAGATATCTTAGACCTCCAGCGATGCCATTGGAATGTACTGGCTAAGATATGTGACGGCAAGCTTTCGCTAACTTTAATGATAACCTTATCCTTATCCTTGTTTGTTTCAAATGTGACAGGAACAACCTGTTACTTTGAGTTTGGTGGATACGGTTATTGAAGGCCAAATTCGTGCTGTTGGATGCACCTTCCTAGATGCGACGCAAACGTCGACCTTGAAGAATGCGTAAGGCTCTCCGTGGTTTAATCCCAATGATTAGTCAGTAGCTTGCTAGAAGAAGTCTCAAGTTTCTCACCTCCATGGCTTAGACCATGGTACACTTGGTTATTGGGATTCAGGACAGAACTGAGCCTCGCTCACATCATAATTCAACCTCTATTGTTATTCATGATAGCTTAAGATGAACCTTGGATAATCTTATCTGCCATCTCACTCAAAGTATCTGACATGACATCCATCTCCCCAAAGATATCCACACAAGGCTCTTTCTCTAACACAGAGCAATACGCAGCTTTGAATCCTTAGAACAAACATTAGCAACAGCAAGTAAGCAACAATAATTCACTCACCTGCTAGCTTCGCAGCTGATACATCCCACATATGGGCCGCGGCGAACCAAAGCTCCTTTGCTCCCTTCAACTCCTCAAAGGTCGAGGCATATGCCTTGAGGTCCGGCTTACCCACTCCAAACGAGTCACAAGAAATCAGATGCTCCTTTGGAAACTCGATGCCCGCCTTGTCGAAGTACCCAAGCACTCTGTCAAAGTCCCCAGCTGTCAGACCACGCACTGTGAATCCCGCTGCTCGAAGCTTATCAAAACATTCTTTGAGATCAGGTCTTGGCTCGAGTTCCATGTAGCCATGCATAATCTTCTCGATATCAGCCCCACTTGCGAAGGAGCGTGGCTCTTGGATACCGGCGAGCCAGAGCATGCGATAAAATAGGGATGCGAACAGCTTATCGAATGCGACGTATCGATTAGTTATTGAAAGATACGTATATTCCCTCTCTCCAGCCTCGATCCAGAGGTTCACAAGAAGACTGGGCTTCACATTCTCGGCCAGCAGTCTTTCACCGAGTTGCTTTTCGACTGCTTCTGTAAGCTTGTCGTATGAGACGCAGGTCCCAACGATGTCGAAGACGACGTACTTTCCGTTGCTGGGCGACATGTTGGCGTTGGGACAATGATGTAGATTGGGTGGTGGAGGGTGAGGGCGAAGAATGAGTATCTGTAATCACAATCATAAATAGGCCTCCCTGGGTTGACTCACAACCCCTCACTCATTCTAGTAATGTAACCTAAAAGCATCTTAGATTCCCCGTAATCGGGTACTGGTATCCGAAAGTTGGACTTGATAGATAGTCGGATGCGCATCCGTTGACTCATGCGGGGGACCGGGTCAAGGAACCGAGATATATCAGAGCGAACAATAGTCATATGATTGTTTCTGTAGCTCACAAGCAAATAATTCTGTGCCGCTCCGTATCCCGTAATGAATCCTCGTAAAACAGGATCTGTCGTAAATATGATCCCAAGCAATCCCTCACAACGTCTTCCTTGCTTACTCCATCCCAAGCCAGACACATCATCCTAACACATCACGCCCAGTGTCGAGTTGTACAGTAATGGCAACGCAGAACTAGCGTGCTGCCGTGGTCTTCCACGTACGTCCCAAAATCGGCACCACAATGACGGCACTCATCCCACTCATCCATTGCCTGGATCAACGCATTCATCTTGTTGGTGATCTCCCATTTTCTGTCACTCTCATTGTTCCTCTCAGTTCTTGCCATCTTTAGTTCCCCCTTGATCTCGTCACGTTCTTTAACGAGTGCCGATATTTCACTTCTCTGGGACCCAATAGTTCCGTGCATTCTGTCTCGTTCGCTCAAGGACATGCCTGTCTTGCTTTGTCTTTCCGATTCAAGGTTTCTCTTGGCTTGAGTGAGCTCTTGCACTAGAGTTGCTGAGCGCTTCCTTTCTGTCTCAAGGGCTTGTGACGCTTGAGCGAGTCTCGCGGTCAAGTCTGTTGTCACCTTCTGCTCGTCTTTGAGAGCATTTCGAACATCGTCCCGTGCAAATTCCGTGATGCTGACCCTGCTATGTCTCTCAAACTCGAGAGACTTCTTCAGGTCGTCGTTTTCTTGAGTCAAAATGGACGACTTTGTCTTCTCCTTATCCCATCTGGCCTTGAGCAAGCCACTCTCGGATCTTGTGACTCTCAGCTCTCGTTGAAGTGTCTCGAGCATTTTTTCGTTTTCTTCTGCTTTTACTTCCGCTGACGATTTCTTGTTCTTTGCATCATTCATGACTTGCTCAGCATGATCCCTTGCAGTGGACACTTTCGCCGCAATATCTCGGAGCTCTTTATTCTCGACTGCAACATTTGACAGCTCATTCCGCAACAGGTCTCGCTCAGCGGCAAGAGTTGCGACGCTCTGCCAGAGTTCTTCCTTTTTGACTAAAGCAGCCGAAAACTGGTCGCGGAGTTCGTCTCGCTCACGGGACACTGCTGTTGCTTGTTGTTTGAGGGAAGAGATTTGGATCCGGAGGGCTTCAAGCTTGGTGGAGCTTTCGTCCTGGGTCGTTGGAGCCGGTGTGGGTTTTGATTGATCTCCACTTTGCTGAAGAATATCATCTTGGTCTCGGAACTTGGGATGGAAGCTTTTTAGCATCGTTGCATGGTCGAAGCCGTTTGAAGTGGTGAGGGAATGCAAGTGCCCTCTCGCGAGAGTAACAAGCAACCTTTGTAGCTTATCGTCCTTCGACTTCAACACAACAGCGACAGTGAAAAGGAAAACCGAATCGAACCATTTCCCTCCGAAGACCTTCTGGATGTTGTCCCTGGCAAGCTCGCATAGCTTGGGAACGCCATAGTGAGTACCGATGGCACAGATTTGAAGATGGCAGGTTAATACATCACGCATGAAATGATCCGGAGCTGGTGAACCCCCAACTGATAGTGATTAGCCTTGGCTATGAACGATAATGGGCCACTTCATACCAGCTTGCAGCACACTTGGAAAATTCCTTCGGTCGACTTCATAGCACCCAGTCTTGAAGAATTCAACCATACAGTTTACTGTGTCCAGAGAGAATTCTTTCACGGTGACAACCGGATTCTGAGATATCTGCAAAGCGTCAGTTTCCGTTCAGAGCATGAGCTGTGGGATATCACACTTTCTGGGCGGTATCGAGAGAAGCTGCGAGCTTTGGTGACTGCGCTCGCGCGATTGACTGGGGTATACTAAAAGCGAATCCCTGACAAAGAAATGTCAGAGACAAAGGTGCTTCGCCCATGCTGGCAAACATTTGCCCTCATTCGGCTGCAGTCGTATGGGAGAATGACGAAGATGAGGTGCAGAAGTTCCAGTTGATGAGAGAGAAAATTGCTTATAGGGAGTGGTAGAGAGAAGAGCTGAGGTGGACCTGAGGCAGAGAGATAAGGAGGGAGGCGGGCGGCAGGCACATAACTGTTGGCGCTGGCAGCACCTTCCCTCTACTTGATCTCGGAGCTCCTGAAATTGGCATCACCTGATAGCGCTCAAATATCGCTGAATTTAAGGGAATCTTGATTATTTGGGTTGGGGAAACAGATGATGGAAAGCCATTTACTTCACTATAGTAACTTGCTCTACCTACACTTGAATGCCGATGCTATGCATTTCATAGGAAGAACCGCCTCTTGTGATCAAGTTGGATTTCTCAGCGCTACAATAGGTTGTGATTCCGGATCAGAATCTCCCTTCGACTTAGAACATGCAGAGCCAGTACTGAGCCAGATGCATGCTCGTAAGGCCTGGGGCACGTCGAGAGACAGAAGATGAGCACCGAGTCGTATTGCAAACCTCGATACAAAACGTTTATCCCGGTCACAACATACTACTATCTCGCATAAACATCGCGTTTAAGCCTCGAGGTCTGCGTTTGTTGACATGATCCACGCGTTACTTTATCATTATTGAGATGATACCCGTGCTGCAGCTCATGGCCGATTCCCCAGCTGCTTGAAGTATCTTGACTACACCCCGATGCTAGTTAGAGTTGCCTATGGCTCATATTGAAAACTAACTGAATCAGTATCAGATAAATACAATGCCGGGTGGTGTAGTGGTACATCCCACGATCCACGGTGCCTCGCTTGAGGACCGTTCTGTAGCGTGCTATGGAGCGTGGTGTCGCATGGTTCGAATCCTGCCCCGGCAATATTATTTTTGAAATTCCGAGGTTTCTTTCTGTTACTAGTTTCCTCTCTTTCTATCTATCTACATGGGGCTGGCTGGATGGAGACTTCTGATCTACAAATCTGTTGATACGGATATCTCATTCTTGGCGATCAAGTCAGCTTGCTTCAACAGCGAGCTATAGAATGTATCCATCTCTCGCTCCGATGTGATCTTGTTGTCATTTAAAAACTCTCCTTTGGCATTCATGCAACTGAGCAGCTTCCTCTACTGCTGGGTCTGGTGCAACGTCATGCGTCTTGAAAATCAGATGCACAGGGGATTGAGGACTATTACCATCATATCGGAGAGATGGAGGTGAGGATAGACGATCAAAGAAGCATGCTGTTCTGAAAAGCGAGTTGCAGTTGTTATCTGCGTCCCCTCGCTGGCTATGAGTCTGATGACGACGGTCATTCCCAACATGGCCATTCCTGACCATGCGCTTCTGTGAATCTAAAGTTCAGACTCGGGGCAGTGCCCTGGCAAGCCTATATATCCTTTTCACCAAACCCCCTTACCGACCTGCAACTTGTTTGACTCTGAAAAGCAGCGCTTCTTGGCGTTGCGATATTGCCACTCTTGGGCCACTGGAGTCCACCCGAAGACCAAACAATCGGTTTCAGGAAGTTACGGAAGGTCTACAAAGACCTCGATGAATCTGACCAGGTTGCAAAGATGGTGATCGAGCGTGTGGACAAGGACAAGGGCAAGGAGAAGAAGGGAACGGTCTGAGGTGGGTTCTGTTTTGTTGAGGACTTGATAGTGCATAGGGCACTTGAAGAATTTAATGCAGATGATCCATGAACTACTAATGTGCACGTTGAAGTTCCCTATACCTTTGTGTGACCATTGTAGTTGACTGTATTATCCACTGGTAAGCGATGCTTATGGAGGCGAATGGAAATGTTGATCAGCAGTCTTACTTCCATACACTGCATAATAGTGAGGAGTCCGCAAGTGTAGCACAGCCAAAACCAGATAGTCATTTGAAGTTTTATTTCTTACAACCAAATTTCAGTATAATAATTTATAAGTTTTTAGACTAAGTTCTTTATACTAGTATAAGCTCTTAGCTATAATATAACAGTTAGGGGTTTTGAAACAGGTAAACTAGTTTATACTAGGTTTATATTTATAAATTATATAAGGCATTTACTAAGTAGGTTATAAAGTATTAAGTGTCTTAATAATATATAAAATAAATTGAATATATCTAAATAAAAAGTCTTATTAATAGCTAATAAGCTAAGTTCTATTTAATGTTACATAAAAATATATAGTTATACTTAGTAACTTATAATAAATTATCAATAAGTTAAGGTAATCCTAGCTCAACCATGACAAGGCAGAGAACTCATTGCAGGGGGTATCAAGGGAGCATCGGCTCGCTGTGCTTGTGCTCGTTGCGGCCATCGGCTAAGCTCAAGATGAGGATGTTGTGGGCGGGCGTTCGGAGTCTTCATGATCTATGGGTTGTTGAAATGTCGAAGTTTGCCTCGTTACTGAGAATTGTGCATGGCCCGGCATTTCAGCTATGGCAAAAGTTTTCTCGTGAATCGGTTGGTACTGCGGCGACAGGGTCAGTAAGGTATATCCTGAGAGTACATCAGAATGATACCGTTGGTGGCCGAAGCCGAACGCGGGCGCGTGCAACGAAGATGACAACAGTCACGTCAGATGATCACTCTGGTAGTGCTTTGAAGCTGTGAACGGTGTAACTTACCCATCACAGAAATAATTGACTGGATCTGGGATATTGACCTCAAGACATCTTCGTTGTTGGTTGAAGTTTGAATCACGACACTGAAGATGAGTAGCAAGATTGTCTTCAATTTGAAATTCATTCATGCATTGGAACCGTCAGCCGGTTTACCCTCTGCACCCGGCCTGCATTTGCGGATCCTGTTGCGGTCCTCGTCGAGCGGACGGCGTCTTCCACTTCCCTTCGCGCTTTTTCTCCCCATCATCAACATATGCCGCAAGGTCATCACTATCGCTTATTGCGCCCTGGAGGTAGCCCCAGTCCTCGCATTCTACTGCGCCAAGCTTCACCTCGTCGCTAAGTAACTTGTCGTTTATGACGCCGCCCGAGGCAAATGCATCTGCTTCCTCGGCTCCTGCAGCACTATTGATCACGAGATCCCCACCAAAGGCATCAACCTTGCCAGCGTTATCAAGGTCTGCTGCACCAAGTGCACTTCCTGCCTAAGGCAAATGCACTGCCCGCCTGAGGCAGACGCATCTGCTTCTTCGGCTCTTGCGGCATCATCGATCGCGAGATCCCTACCAAGGGCATCGACCTCGCAGCTGTTACCAAGGCCCGCTGTGCCGAATGCACTCCACGCGAGAGCCGTGTCGGCAAGGGATTTAAGGCTCAGATCCGTTAGTTGCTCTGCGTTATTTCATAGTGATGGGAGGTGGAGGTGGAGGAGGAAGCAGAGGCGGACACAGAGGCGGACACAGAGGAGGAGGGCATGCCAGGGCGATGGCGCTGGCCTGCCTGATCGCTTTAGTTGGCTTTTGTACAGGGAAGCGAGCAGGGGGAACTGCCGTGTTGGCTTTATATAAGGAAGCGTGCGTGGGGACTGTTGTTAGATAGATGCTGTGACGACCAGCTAATCGCGCCGAAGTAGGCTTAAGAATGAGGTTTGAAGAGACATTGAATTGGCTAAGTTAAACTGGCCGAGACTTGTGGCTCGCTTTAGATAAACACGGGGATGATCTTAAGCAGATTTCTCGACAGATTCATATCCCGGATTCTCCAGTTGACGGCTTTAAACGATTCCTAAAGGAAATAGAAAGAATACAAGCGAAGGATGAGAGTGTTTAGTATATCATGCGAATATAGACCTGATGCTTTCTGTGGATATCGTTGAGTGCTGCTGGTTCTTCTAAAAATATTCCTCCATGAAGTACAAGGGTCGCCTGTGCTTGATCTCTTCTGTGGACAACTTCGAGTGCTGCTGGCTATTCCAATACAATAGGGAGTGATTATTGTCTAGGAAATACAAGGATCCCTTGTACTAGAGCTATTCCTGATGTCGTGAAGGATCAGGAAAGTCTTTGCAGTTTGTCAACAGATGCCTTGGTGATATATGCATATCCGCCAAGTATGAACCTAGGACGCCGAGAATAATATTCAGAAGGTGGCGAAAAGGAATAAAAAGAAGAAGCAAGAGAAAATAGGGAGAACAACAAAGAAAAATATAATAGAGATCTGGCTTGCATAATAAGGAAGGAAATTGGAATAGAATGTCGGGAAATCTACGATAATATTCTAGATTAGGGAAAAGGCCTGGATCATGTTGACGGCGCTATCTTATAGCTTGATTTCCCTTATCTGAAGCGAGCCACTAGCCTGCCTCAGCCATATCATATAAACCAATTCAAGAAAAGGTGCGGGATGCAAGCATCAGCTGTTAGGCCTGTCAACTCAAAACAACACTCTCAAAAACACTCTTCAGGCAGCGGACCAACTACCCACACAATAGCCCAAGATAAGCTTTTCAGCTTATTCTAATCAGGTCGAGTCGGGTGCATCAGTGTCAAAAGAAGCACAAGAGCAAGCAAAAAGATAGCTGAAGAGTGTGCCAGCAGCATAAGGCGCTATATACTTTTTCGTCCGTTGTCATCTCTCTTGTCGGGGCTGTGTTCATGTGCCACGTTGCCAGAGATGTTGTAGAGTTAGGGAGAGACGCTGTTAACTGCCGTGTGAATCAGCCGTATTACTTAACCTTCTTAAGTCAGAGGATAAGAACCTGATATTAATCGTCTGCTATCACCCTTCAAACTAACTCCGTACTCTAGCCCCTTACCTCTTACTATGAGTAGAGAAGGTAGGCCTACCAGTACGCATTATAACTCAACCCGAGAAACAGAATATCTCCGCCAATCTTAGCTCTATAGATCTCTCAGATTAAGTGGCAACAATAGGTGTAAACAGAAGGCCGGCAAAAGAGTTATATTTCTTGCTAGTAGAGGCTACTTGGGGTTTCTCTATACTACATATTACCTTGTACCTTTGACGTCGATTAAAAGAGCTAAAGAAACTCGCACTGGCTATCTGAAGCCCAAAAATAGTAGTAGATATTATGAAAAACAATCTGAGTAGTTGTTTGTGAGATTCTAGGCAGAGATCACCATCCGATCTTAATGCAAGCCTCAATATAAAACATCAGGGTCACAACGTACTGGTATCGCCTGCATATCACGTTTTAGCCTCAACGAGGAGATTCCTCTTTGTCTCTTGACGGGGTGCGGAGATGTTCCAACAAGAGCCTACTTGCAAATACTTGCAAAATAGTTCAAGGTCCAATAACATTTATGCTTAACCAACACTTGGAACATCATCTTTGAAGCTTGGAACGATCTGGTACGCCCCAGCATAAATGACATAGTACAGGACTAAAATTTGAACAAGGATCAGCGTTTGGCGACACGATCTACGCGTCGAGTCATCACGGAGACGATATCCGCGTTTCAACTAACGCCCGATTCCCCGGGCGATAGAGATAAGATAAGAATTTATATCTCGCTGGTTTAGACGCCCATTTGGAAATAACATCAATTTACTAGAAGGCAATGTGAACTGAACCCCAATTACGACAGGTGCATAGGACTATGTACTATATTTAACTGTTATGAAAATTCCTGGATGGCGCTGGCGCAAACCCACCGCGCCAAACACAGCTACTGTCCAAGTGCGGCGCGTGTTTTAAGCTTATTTTAACTATCAACCCTCCTTCTTCAAGTCGCCGGAGCAAAGCTCCTCAAGACAAGCCCTGAGTCAATAGTTCTCACTTTTAATTGCGATCGCTGACATTTCTCCCTGTCGATCCCCAACGCCAAGCTCATCCCTCGACAATAGCGTTCTGCCAAGAGTTTCGCCCGAACCCCAACTTTCCAATCAAGAACGAAGCAGACAAAGCAGATGAGACGCGAAATCGCACAATGCATCATTGAAGTGAGTTTTCTTTTAGC